TGGACTTCTACATAAGCATCTCAACTAAACATAATGGGGTATGAACCCGATTCTAAAGAATTCATACAAAAGTTTCTTAATTAATTTCACATCCTCTATATTACTTTATTAAGCATCTAAAAAACTATTTTTAAATATTTCTCATTCAACATGTAGTATGAAATAAGTATTTGTAAATTTATTAGTGAGCTCTTACATTGTACTCATTATTTTGTCACATTGAAATGTAAAAAAGGGATCATTTTTACAATTTACTCATTTATTTCGTCACATTGAAAATGCCATTAATAAGGATATTTTTAATTATATTGACATGTTCATTTCTAACTTGGTCTGGAAGATGTCTATTTTATGTATAATAATAATAATAATAATAATAATAATGATTGATATTTGATTCGATCTTGTCTAAGACTGAAACCAGTCCAATTAAAAACACCTTAAATGTATGAAGATTTCCTAATTTAGATTAGGAATCTATGTCAAAAGTGAAGGAAAATCTAAATTGTAGTTGTAAAAATAAAGAAACAACTAAACATGTTTACTTTTTTTGCTGGGCTAAACGTATTCATATATGTATGATATGAATTTTCATTTCCATCCTCATAAAGGTAAGATACTTGATTAGAAGTTTTAAATGTTTTCATATATGAATATCTAATAGTATATATCAATTTCATTTTTAAGTTAAAAACTCTTGTGGTTATAATTTTCATCATTATCTCAACAATTAAGAAAGAATGGTATGATGATGCAGAAAAATACGAAGTATTAACACAATTGCAAATATAAGTCTGATAACTTTAGTCATTATCACATTGAGTTTAGAAAACATTCAAAAAATTGAGTTTAGAAAAATAAAATATTACTCCGTACTTTTTAGGAAATGGAACACTATTATTACTTTATTTATAAAATAACTTTGAAGAACAAAATTGATAGGAACTTGGATGATTTATTTGTTAGGTGCGCAAAACACGGATAATTCACTTCTCAATAGAATGTAATAAAAATAAAAGTATAAAAATAATTAAATTAAATAAAGTCTATGTGCACGGATGACTATTTATTGTTGTGGTTGCAATAATTGCTTATTTTAATAACAATCCATATTACTACGGAGTAAGTAGTAGATTATGAAAAAGTTATCAAATAAGGTGGATTTTATCATACGCGACGGTCTTTTGTTTCCATATCAATATGTAATAAAAAATAGAATGTAATAAAAAAAGGTATAAATAGTAATTAAATAATTGTTATACATGATGACATGACAGGATTATGTGGCACATCAGATGCTCTTAAAATTCCTCTTATATATATATATTTTAATAAATATCCATACTAATACGGAGTAAGTAGTAGATTCTGAAAAAGTTACCAAATAAGGTGGATTCTATCATACGATCTTTTGTTTCCATATCAATATACAATAAAAATAGAATGTAATAAAAAAATAAAATGTATAAATAGTAATTAAATAATTGTAATATATGATGACATGGCAGGATTATGTGGCGCGCCGTATCCTCTTAAAAAGTTCCTCTTTTATATATATATATATTGATATTGATTTGGCCCTTCATCATTGTGTTTTCTACTTTGAGCTTCCCGTTGATTTTGCCCATATTTCCACGGGGTTTGTGATTTTTGGGTGGCAAGATTGTCCTCGCTCTCACAAAGAGGCTTTTAAAATGTATTCATCAAGAACACACCAAGGAAAGAGTACTCACAGCAACATAATCCGAAAATATTGACATAATAAAAATTAACTTTGACAAAGTATCATTCATATCACCTTTTAAAGTAATAAGTTCACATATATATGCTCTTCGGCTACTTCAGATCCCCAAGAGCTACCAACATCTCAAAAATTAAACAAAAGTTAAAAAATGAGCTGAAAATGATGATTACGAATTCTCTGAAACAACTGTCCTAAAATGATTGTGGGAGTTACATAGTGTCAATAACCATATACTAAGCTAAATCAAGGTAACATGGTAAAAATAAACATGTCGGACCAGATGGTAAAAGAGTATAAAAGAGATGTTTAACCAAGCTAGATTGTGAAAGAAGGCAGTTTTACCTATAATATTTACATATCTCATAAAACATCAACTCAAGTAGCAATTCAAACTACTAAGTAGCTAGAATGGTGTACAGAAAGATTCTTTACACCCCCCTTTCAAAGTTCCAAAAGGTTGAATCGCCAACCCCAAGCGCCCCCCCACGCCCCGACCCGACAGAGCACATGGGAGGATGTAAGTCACGGTGACTCAGTCAGCAGAGTGGCAGTAGGCCTTTGCCCCGTGCGCACCAGAGGCCCAGCCTTATTTCAGGTTCTGTGACCTCCACCCGGTCGCTGCGGGGATTCGAACCTTGGTCATAGTTCCAATTTTCCCACCACTCGACCAGCTGAGCTACCCGTGCGGGTTACACCCCCCTTTCAAGCATCAACAACACGATGTACTAGATTGAAAATACGGAGTACACTTTTATATGCTCTCTCTTAGAAATCTTGTGTTCATTATATTTCCACCTTAATTGGTCTACGTCTACCTATAAATTCCTGTCAAAAAAGAAATTCTTAGTGTTCTATTATTTCTTGATATAAGCATTATACGGAGTAATAGTTTCTAGAAATCGTGAATTTGAAAGTTGAGAGTTATACCAATAAAAATATTAGTTTGCAATTCAATAGGCTTAAACACCAAAGCATAACAAACCATAGACCTAAGAACATCATCACACAATCAATGAAATACAAACAAGAAAATTAGTTTGCAATTCAACAGGTTTAAACACCAAAGCACACTTTTTTAAAAATAGCAAAAGCGTAATAAATTAAATAAAATAGTCAATACAAATAACTACATGTCTACATAGTACATCATAATTTAAATGGGAAAATAAGAAAATTAGATTCTTGAACTAATTAGCAAAAAGGGGAGTAAAAGTATTGGATTTAAACAAAATGTTCATTGAGTCAACTAATTAACAAAGAATAGAGTAAAAGTCTTCGATTAAAACAAAAAATTCATTGAGTCATTTCAACAAATTAAACACGTTATGAGCATAAATGTGAAATGGAGTAGTTGAACTAAAATTTCAATAACTAACACTATATTCTCCTACAATAATACAAAATACTCAACTATTCAGTGTTATACCACACATAATATACAAAAACTCGGAAATTTTAGATAAATAAAACCTTAAAATGCACATAGAAAAATCGAAATATATGACTACCTCGATGGTGATGGTGGATTCGACTCTGAGAGGCGGAGGTGAATGAAGAACAATGACAAAGTTACTTGATTTGGGAACGAAAAAAAGCAAACCCGAGAGACTGAGAGAGTAGAGAGGAAATGTTCTTTTGGGATGTCTGACACGTGTGAGAGGGAGTAAATGTGCGGTAATTTTATTTGGTGACAACTCCGGTACCCTTTTAAAAATTGGGGTACCGTACCCATCATTCATTTGATTGGACCACATCATTTTATCATTTTTAATTTAGATTTAAATAATTCAACTGCAATATTATCATTGGTCCATGTGGACAAAGGTATGGTACCTTATGGGTACCATAGAATCTACCATTTTTTTTATATTTATGGTGTGTATTAGTGTGTAAGATAAGCGTGTACAAAGAGTAAAATTGGACAAAAAATGTCATCACAAGCTCGTGTAAAAATGTGTAAACGGTAAAAGTGTGTACACTAATAAAACTGTTGAATTAGTGCGAGGGACGGAGCAATGAGAGGTTACTCAACACAGGGCCTCTGCAAGTATCGGGGGCAGAGCCTCATTCTCTATCTGTCAGATTGTGATTATAGTCCAATTTACATCCTGTCATTGTGTCGTCCCGTCGGTGTTGGGGGGCCCTCAGGCAATGGCGGAGCCACATACAAGAGTGTGGTGTCAATTGACAGCACTCAATTTTTTTGTAATTATATATAGAGGTATATTCTTTAAAAAAAATTAATTTGACAGCACCTATATAAATGGAATGATTATCAATTGACACCACTCAAATATTTTTTGTAGTTATATATAAGGGTATATTTTCTAAGATTCAATTTGACACCTATATTAACAAAATGAGGGTCAAAAAATAAATATATATGAAATAATTACATATTTATAACTAAAATAAAAGTTATTTATAAAGCGTGATGTCTTAAGTGCAGTGGCTACATTAGAAACTTTATTTAGTAACTTATTTCAATTTTACACTTAGGAGAACATGACACCGTACTATAGTAACTTTTAATGATATTTCTGGAAATAATTTTATTTCAAAAATATATTTTTAAAAGTCTAAATATATTTATTTAACTAAAATAAAATTACATGTAATGAAGTTTAGCCATGGTTAATATCTTTTACACTTTTCAATAAGTGATGCACTATAATATTTATTCAAGACAAATATAGCGAAGCTTGAATTCAAAACTTGACAAAAAAAACTACGACTAAGGCTCCGATCCAAATGAAAGAATTGACATATTATTATGTTGACTCTAAATTTATATAAGATAATGTGTAACATAAAATCTAGATAGTCATTCTTTCACACATGTAATATTTGATAAATTTATTATCATAGTGTTACTTTATTATTTAGCTATATTAAAAATTCTTATCAATATATAAAGTGCTTGAAAGTACCAACGATGAGAAAAATGTACATTTTTTAAAGGGAACATAATGTTAGATAATACAGAAACTATCACCATTTAAGAATAGTGACACAAATTATAGAAATAATTAATTCATTCCCAACTATTCAAATATATATACAAAGTCAAATACATATATTTCGTATAAGAGATCAAATACAAACCTCTCATAATTTAAAAACTATAAACTAATCTTGAACATCCAATCAGTTTATCTAATCTAAAGGTTGTATATGCACGATGGTATTTGTGAAATAATGAAACAGGATGCTCTCTAAGGAGCCCTGGCAGATATATTTATAGTAGAGAGATTAAATATAAAATTACACAAATATCCTTAACTAATAATTCTATTACACCCCCTCAATCTGTGCGGGAGAAACAACGCGCAGGTTGTCCTTTAAAAAATGAAAACGCTGACTAGGGAGACTCTTAGTAAAGATATCTGCCAGTTGAAGATGAGTAGGAACATGTCTAACAACCAGATCTCCATGAGCAACACGTTCGCGAACAAAGTGATAATCAATCTGTATATGTTTACTGCGAGCATGCTGGATGGGATTAGCAGTCCGATAGGAGGCGGACACATTGTCACATAACAGGCGGACAGGTTCGGTGATGGGAAAACCAAGCTCGAATAAAATTGATCTGATGTGCAACGTATCCTGAACTGTGTAGGCAATGGCACGATATTCTGCTTCTGTAGAAGATTTGGACACTGTAGGCTACTTCTTAGACTTCCAGGAAATCAGATTCGGACCTAAAAATACTGCAAAACCTGTTGTGGACCGAGAACTATCCGGACAGCCAGCCCAATCTGCATCAGAATATGCTACCACACACGTCGGTTTTGCAGAGCATTGAAGCCAAAGTCCATGATCACGTGTCCCTGCAAATACCTGAAAATTCTCTTGACTGCAAAGAGATGAGTAGTACGAGGAGCATGCATAAATTGAGACACTAAGTGTACTGCATAAGTAATATCAGGCCGTGTCAAAGTTAAATATTGCAACGCACATACCATGCTGCGATATTCAGTGGCATCAGTAAGTAACTCGCCATCAGACAGAGAGAGAGTTGTGCGAGACGCTAATGGGGTGCGAACGGGTTTGACAGTATGGAGATGAAACCGGGTTAAGAGATCAGACACATACTTATTCTGAGAGAGAAAGAGACCGTTGAGGGACCTAGTCGCCTCAACACCCAAAAAATAATGTAAATTACCCAAATCCTTCATAGCAAAATGATTAGAAATAACAGAGATGAAGTGGGTAATGATAGACTCAGAATTGCTAGTAATAATAATATCATCTACATATAATAATAAGTAAATAATATTATTATTATGGCGATAAATAAAAAGTGAATTATCAGACTTACTACAACAAAAGTGATGCTGCAGAAGAAAACTGCTAAACCTATGAAACCATGCCCGTGGAGCTTGCTTAAGGCCATAAATGGCCTTGCGCAAACGACACATATGATTAGGAAATTGAGGATGAACAAAACCACGGGGTTGACGCATATAGACTTCCTTAGTGAGGTGACCATGTAAAAAGGCATTTTTGACGTCAAGTTGACGCATAACCCAACCAAACGAGACTGCAAAAGTAAGAACAATACGAACGGTGGTAGGTTTAATAACAGGACTGAAAGTTTCTGAGAAGTCAATACCAGCCTGTTGATTAAATCCCTGAGCAACTAATCTAGCTTTATGCCGTTCAACAGACCCATCAGAGTGATACTTAGTCTTATAAATCCACTTACACCCAACAATATTCTTAGAATTGTCAAAGGGCACCAAATCCCAAGTATTATTATTAATGAGGGCATTAAATTCATCAGCCATAGCTTCCCTCCATTTTAAATGTTTATTGGCCTCAGTAAAGCAAGTTGGATCTGGCTGATTAACAACTGTACTCAAGTTAAAAATTTGCTTTGGTTTAAAAATACCCGATTTAGCTCGGGTTTGCATGGGATGCAAGTTGAGGACCGGAGGTGGGACAACAGGACTGGTGGCAGAAGGCATGGTTTCGGGTATGGACTCGGGTGAGTAATGAACAGTGGAAGGGGTCATGGGAGTGGTGTCGGCTGAGCCTGGTGTACTGGGAGTGGATGGGATGGTGGAGTTACAGCGTGAAGCTTTGGCCGAAGATGGAGGGGAATTATCTGGCAAGAAAGCAATAGAGTTAATGGGAGCAGGTGGTCTGGCCGTGGATTTAGGCAGTTGTGGAGTAGGAGACTCATTGGGTTCTAAGGTTGGTGGGATGGCTGTGAGCTTCATGGGAAACGGACTGGAAGAAGACGAAACAACTGGACCAGTGTGAGAAAGGTGTTGAAAAGGATATATATCTTCATGAAACCGAACATGACGACTTATATGGACCCGACCGGTAATAGGATCATAACAACGATAGCCTTTATAACCGGATGCATAGCCAAGAAAAACACACTGAACAGACCTCGGAGATAGTTTATTGGCTGAGGAAGCCGTAAAATTCGGGTAACATGCACTTCCAAAAACACGCATAAAAGAATAATCTGGCACGCGATGAAACAATTTTTGATATGGGGAGTAACCATTTAATGTAGGAAAAGGTAATCTGTTAATAATATATGCAGCAATAAAGAGTGCATCAACCCAGAAGTGACTTGGTACCGAGGCTTCAAGAAGCATAGTACGAGTTAATTCTAGAAGATGTCTATGTTTGCGCTCAGCAACCCCATTTTGTTGAGGTGTGTCGGGACAAGATTTTTGAAAATAAATTCCATTATCTGTAAAAAATTGCTGCATATTACGATTAACAAATTCACCCCCGCCATCACTTTGAAAAGTTTTAATTTTTTGATTAAGTAGATTTTCAACCAAAACTTTAAAATTTTTAAAGTGCATGAAAACTTCACTTTTATGACACATGGGATAGATCCAAGTAAAGCGAGAATAATCATCAATTAAGTATACATAATACTTGAAACCCAAATTAGAAGAAATAGGAGATTGTCATACATCAGAATGAATAATTTGTAAAGGAAGGGAACAATTATGACTAGCATCCGTAAAAGGCAAACGTTGTGATTTTCCTAATCGACAAGCCACACAAGCATGGGTAAACGGAGTATGAGTACATAAAAATTGAGAGCGTTTAAGAAACTGTAAAATGTTGTCACCACAGTGACCTAGTCTACGGTGCCACACAGGGCCAGAAGCCAAAACAGAAGCTAGAACTAAAGGTGGTGATGATGGCAGACGAAGAGGATAAATGGGTCCACTACTGGTAGCTCGTAGAAGCACTGCTCCCGTGGCTCGGTCCTTAATAAAAAAAGAATTTTTATCAAAAATGACGATGCAGTTGTTATCAGCACATAATCTTTGAATAGAAATCAAATTGTATTTGAGCTGAGGCACATGGTAAACAGATTTTAATGTAAGGGGACGACCAGATGAAGGTAATGGAACATCACCAATATGATGAATGGGTAAATGGGCACCATTAGCAACACTAACAGAATTAAAGCCAGTGTAAGCAGATTTATTTAGTAAAATACCTTCTGAGGCCGTCATGTGGGCAGAGGCTCCGGAATCAGGATACCACAAAGCAGAATTAGATTCACCAGGAGTAGTCAACAATTTTGGTATTAACACCAAAATTTTGGCTCAAATAATTGAAAAAAATGTATAATCATCAATAAAGTTTTTAATATTGTGTCATAGAAGTAGAATTTAGCTTAACACATTGACATCACTCAAATGAATCGATGGCTCTGCCACTGCCCTTAGGAATGGAGTGTTATCTTTTGTTGAATTAGAAAATGCATTATTAGAATTGATGACGTAGTGATGAAGTGTCAGATCTAGAACCTCCCATATGTATTTGTTGACAAGTTGTGACATCTAGTTAAAACTTGTGGTCTCGATTCGTCGTAGGTCCTCGTTGAATAGCCCCAAAAGTTTTTCGCTGTTCACACAAGGCAATATGGTCTGGGCCAGTGGCATAACTTCTTCCTCTTTTCAAAATGAAATGAGGAGAAATGATTAAATAAAAGTTGATTAAATAAAAGTTAATAGTGTTTAAGAGAAAATTGATTTTGAAAAGTAAAAGTTGGTAGTGTTTGGTAAAATAAGTGTTTTTGTGTAATAGAAAAAGTAAAAACATTTTTAACACGAAAGTCGAAAAAATAAAAGTTGATAATGTTTGATAAAATAAATGCTTTTAATCCAAAATGTGAGAAGTGCTTTTTTAAAGCATTTGCAAACCAATCCTGAATCGCGACCACACATTTGGGGGCCCATGTTTATTTATCTAATGATATTTATTGATATACATCCAAACACAGTCTAGAAGCAGGAAGCCAAAATCGAGGAGGCAATTGACTAATTAAAAAGGAGGTCGTGTCATGTCAATTGTGAACATGTGAAACGTGCACAAGTGTAACACCAAAATGAGTATGAATAATCTAGAGAATTCACCTATACTCTCTCCGTCCCTAAATAAATTTCCAACTTTCCTTTTTCGTCCGTCCCAATTAAAACTTCTACTTTCCCTTTTTGACCAGAATTTGTGGTTCATAGCAATTCTTACACATTTCTCTCTCCTCTGCACAACTCTCTACCACACAATACTCATTATCTTAGGATGTTTTCTTTTGGACTGAAATTTGCTGGTCTGGTCTGTTTAAGTCTGGTCTGGTCTGGTCTGGTCTGTTTAAGTCTGGTCTGGTCTGGTCTGGTCTGAACTGGTCTGGTCTGGTCTGGTAAACGTCTGGTCTCTGTGTATTTTATAACTACGGAAGTCTGGTCTGGTCTGGTCTGGTCTGTTTAAGTCTGGTCTGGTCTGGTCTGGTCTGTTTAAGTCTGGTCTGGTCTGGTCTGGTCTGTTTAAGTCTGGTCTGGTCTGGTCTGGGACTGAAAACAGTCCAAAAGAAAACATCCTTAAACTCTGTGCCAAACCTATTTGGAAGATATAATAGGGACGGAGGGAGTATTTGTGATGTATAGAGTATCATATTAATTACATACGTAGTAATACATTTTAATAAGCGGTCATTACCTCTGTCCCTGAATTATCTTCAAATTTTCCTTTTTCACTCGTCCCTAATTATCTCATCTTTCTCTTTTTGGTAAAAGATTTGTGATTCATAATAATTCTTACACATTTTCTCTGTCATGTGCACAACTCTCCATCATACAAAACTCACTATCTTAATCTCCGTGCCGGGTCAAAAAGGGAGAAAAATTAGGGACGGAGGGAGTATGTAATATGCATATAAAAAATGATCTTTGTACCCACTCTTATACTCACTTTTGTACCCACCTATGTTTGTGAAGTATTTTTTTTCTCTGAGAACCCCGGCTCACAGACAATATTTTGCACAAACAAAATATTATCTATGAACCGGGTTCACAGACAAAAAATAACCTTCACAAACATGGTGGGTATAAGAGTGAGTACCTCAAGCATTGTTATACATGTACTACGTACATATCATGTTGCATGCTACCACCATTTTTCGTTTAATGATTTCATCCGTTTTGGGTTGTGACTTGTAATGTTTGTTTTTAATTATTTGCATGTCAAGCTCAATATCTTGTTAATGAGTTATCAATGACCTGGATATATTTTTAATCGGATCTAATATTAATAGGGGAAAAGAATTTTAAATACTCCAAATAATGAAGGAGTGTGAGATAAACGCCTCAAGCTTCAATATGTATTATATATACCAAATTTTATATAAAAAATTATATTAGTATCATAATCATATTTTTCACAAATGTAATTTATGGTGTTACGTACAAATGAATATTTGTACTTAAAATACACAAAATATTTATGATGATGTAATTAAAATTAAATTAAACCGGATGTAATGTTACTTATTTCACAAATGAAATTTTAGAATGTTAATTGCATCCTAACAAAGCAGATTATTTTAAATTATGTAATTATTATAATAAATTTGTATTTGTAAAAAGGGTTTTATTAAAAAATATTATTAAAAATAAAATTTATTTACAAAAATATGACTAATAATTACTAAAATGTAGTGTCATGGTAACTTAAATTTTAAAAATGAGCACAAGTTCCTATGATTTCATTACTACTATAGTTACTAGTCACATTTTTGTAAATAACATTTATTTTAGTCATAAATATGTATTTATTTCTTGTAAAAAACATACAATAATGGTCCAAAAATAACTACTTTGTATTATATAAAGTTCAGGGTATATATATCACATATGCAAGTTTGAGATACTTACTTACACTCCATTAAAATTTGGGGTATTTAAATTATTTTCTCTGGATCCTTTGTGATATGATCTGACCTATTCAAATTAATTTTGATCTAGTCTGATCTTAAAGAGGTCTGATCTATGTGTATTTTATAAATTAAATGTTGAAATCTTATATAGCTGATTTGTTTAAGTATGACCTGGTCTACTCTAGTTTAGAATCGTAATAAGTAAAAACATTAATTCATTTAAATGCAGTGAAATAGCTATAAGTCCTAATCATTTAGGTATTGAATATAAAAAAAATAATTTATTCATCGTGTGGAAGATCGACATTTTACCTATAGACGAAAAGATCGAATTTTCTAAATTTAGCGTAGGCTAGGTTGACCCTCCCCGAACGGCAATTTATACCGTGCAACCGGCGCACCATGAGGATGGTGCGCCCGATTGCAAAACGACGCATGACTTCATTCAAAACGACGCAGAGCTTCATTCCATTATTTTTTTCTTTTATTGTTAAAAAGTGTAATAACTTTTTTATTTGATATCCGATTTTTATAAATTTTATATCAAAATTTTTTATTTTTCATGATCTATCAAATGAGACCAATATTGCTTATGTAATTTTAACAAATTATGTAACTATTATATAAATGATTATTGGATTATAAGGAAAACCGAACTAAATTTAATACAAAAATAATAATTGTGTAAATCACAATTTATCTTAAAATTGTGTATATAAAAAATGATTGAGTTACATGTGAGTTACATATTTTTACACGTAAGTTACATATTTCTACACGCGAGTTACATATATATACACACGAGTTGCATTTGACCTGCCTGAACGCGAGTTACATATATTTACACCTAGAGTTACATATTCTTACACGTAAAGTTACATATTTATACACGTGAGTTACATATTTATACACACGAGTTGCATTTGACCTGTCTGAACGCGAGTTACATATTTTTTTACGTAAAGTTACATATTTTTACACGTAGAGTTACATATTTAATTTATACACACGAGTTACATTTGGCCTAACTAAACGTGAGTTACATATTTTAACATGTAAAGTTACATATTTTTACACGCAAATGTTAATATGTTAAAATTACAAAGGCAATATTGGTCTCATTTGAAAGATCATGAAAAATAAAAAAAAAATGATATAAATTTTATAAAAATCGGATCAATAATAAAAAAATTATTAACAATTTTAAGAAAAGGAGAAATAAAAAATAACAAAGGGTGCATGGTGCTCACCATGCACTGGTTCCACAGTATAACAACTATCCCCAAACCATACACATAATAATGAGATAATGTAGGAATTGAAACCCTTATTCATGCATGCGTAAATTTCAATCGCCAAAGAACAGTCGCATTACTCCCAAACTTTTTCCGCTCTTCCATTTTTGTTTAATGACCCCAATATTACACCCCATGTTTCTAAAGGCAAAATTATGCCACTTTTATTTTGAATGAAAAAAATAATAATAAAAAACAAAAAAAACTGACCCAAAATACTCCCGTCCGTCAATCTTCCCCTACGTCGTCTCGCGTTCTCTCTTCTCCCACAGAGCTTTCTGTCGCCATACTCCACAGAGCTCTCCTTCTTTGCGCTTATTCTTCTCCCCTTCACCGATTGACTAAGATCTACGTCGCCATATCCCCACAGACCCCTGCCTTCTATTTCTTCTATTTCTGTCCGACTGTGGGAGAGGCGAACGACCGCCCCGTTTGCCATTGTTGAGAAGTGACGATGCTATGAAGCTGTTTAGGATTGACATCTCTATGGAGCACTTCATCGTTGTATGGATTGGGCGAAACGGCGAAGGCGCGATTGGGTACATCTACGACATGTGGCGGACGGCGTTGGGCTCCCATCTGGTTCAATGTCGTGCTCAAGGCAATAATAGAGCTCCCAACAAAAATCGCCAACATTGAATCCCGCCATGACCGATGTGTAAGCTGACGATCCCTCAGTTTTTCTCTTCTCTAAATTTGCAGCCGCTTGAAATCTTTCTTTCTGAGAGACGACCACACAACGATAATTTTTTTCTTCAAAATGTATTTTATTTGGATAGTTTTTGCTTTTGATTTTGAGTTTTTTTTACTTTGAAACATAAATGTTAGATACTTTTTTCGTTCCAAAAGGATTTTGTGCGGCTGTTTCTTTTGCATTTCTTATTAGATTATGATTTTAGATTTGTGGAGACAATCCTTCAGTGTATAGACTGGGGTTTTTCAAAAAAAGCTGAATTAATAGAAGGGCTTCTTAATAGAATACATGCAAATTTCAGAATTTATCTTGGAGTCTAATTAATTTTGGATAGTGACCACTGTGATTCAATTTATACAATTCATCTGCCCCCAATTCCTATGTGATGCTTTCTATACTTATGCTAGCTTTCTCTATCTACTCTTGAATTGTTTGCTCTGTGGATTTTGGGCACACTTATGGATAATGTAGATACAGTTTCCCAGGTCTCTCAGA